GTCTTCGGTGGTGATCCATCACCGATCTGGTCAGTCCCGACAATCACGACACTCATCGGTGCTCGGTTTTCAAGCAGATGCAGGTTTGCTTGCTAATGCGAGTGTGTTGGTGAGTGAGCCCAACAGCTTCCTTTTAATTTTGCCAGCTTTGTATGTAAATCACACAGTCGCACGTGGCGAGACAAACTTGGAATTTGTAGGCATTGTTTTTATTTTCTTCTGTCGTTCGCTTTTTCTCATCATCGTCCTACAGAAGTCTTCGCTGTTTTCGTTGTGCTTTTCATCATCAGAAGCGAGTGTTACATTTTGCCTGTGAGCAGCGACCGTTACTGGTGATTGTTGTTTGCCATGGCTCTACCTCTCACTGCGTGACAAAACGTTCTGTCAGCGATAGCCGATTGATGCGTTGACGAGTGTCGAGTGAGTGTCATGATATTTTTCATCACTCCTTCAGAGGTTATTTGTATTGGATCTTGTCAAGGGTAACCTGGATTGCTCTTCACTGCTGCAGAATATTAACTTTTATGCACTTTCTCGACAGCTTCGTGAACGAGATTTATTTTTAGTCAGGCGGTATTGTACCACGTACGGGTATAACAACCCTATTGATAATTGTGTTAGGGCGTTTAACAATGTTAGTGCTGTCTTTGATTTTAATTTGTCCAAGTTTGTATACAAAAGTAGAATTAGAAACTTAGGTTAAGAATCCGTCTGTGGAGTTTTTTATAAATTCGAGATGAAGAACAAATAACTAAAACACGTTTTAAATTTATTTTCCCACACATTTTCCAATACAAAATTTAAAATTCTCCCACAAATCCAGATCATATCCAAATTCGTTCAAATTCGACACCGTTGTTGGGGACCTCAACATACATCGGAGGAGCAGTGGGTGCCGGCGCTTGGTGGTGTAGTGGTAAGCGTGACTACTTTCTCACCCCAATGGGTCTGGGATAAACCTAGCCGAGGTCGGTGGGATTTTTCGGAGGCTTAAAAATCTCTGGTCACGTCTTCCTTCGAAAGGGAAGTAAAGCCGTTGGTCCCGGACCATGTGTATTTGAATGGGTGCCTTCCTGCACATTCGATGCCGTCAAATAGTGAGCCATTTTAAAATCATTAGTTTCCACCGGTTGGTTTTACTCCAGCGTTCTTCCAGGCGGTTTTCTCCCGCTGGATTGGAAGCAGTTACTCAGGAAGTGGATCCAACTTTTAAGTGCAATTTGTCAACAGAGTAAGTGGGAATTTTATGATACACTTTGACAAGTCTAAATAACAACAATATATGCTTTTTGCTCTCAATTTAAACCGAATGGTTTTATGGTTGGTTTTATAATGATAGAACAACTTTAGAGTATTGTATCAAGGCATTAATAAACAAATGTTAATGAAGTTTATGATTGATTTTCAGAACAGTTTTATCGAGAGATTGAGAGCTGCTTTAAATTTATTTTAAAAAACAAGACAGTTTTTGACTTTCTCGACAGACTATAAAACAGCAATAAGCTGAATTACTAACCAGGAATGTTTTACACTTTGAAATGCTGTATTTAAACTAAATGGATTATTCATCATAAATCAGAGTGGATGCCAAGTAGCTGCCGAATTGTTACTTGGGATGTATATGGATGATTGTCCACGCAGGAGAAGGGTCATATAAAACCTCCCAAAAAGGGTCCACGTGGTATAAAGGGTGTCCACGATGAAATTGCCACACTATGAAATTGCTCTAACTTTTTAACCGTTGGGTAGAATTAAATGAAAATTTGGATGGATTTAGTTCATAGTGCATTATTTACATCCTGCAAGTTTTAAAGTCCTGTGATCAAAACTCGCGGAAATGGAGTCGAAAGAACAGCTCGTGCGTGATAAAATCTTGCGCATTCATCACGAGAACAAGGATCTCTCGCATTGGGAATCGCGAATTCCACGGTGTCGCGAGTGATTAAGCGGTTCGAGGAACGGTTGACCACCGATCGGAAGCCCAGAAGTGAAGGAAAAAGTATTCCGTACAACACCAAAAATCACAACCGCGTAGTTGGGGCCTTCAACCGAAATCCGAACGCCTCCGTTAGGGATGTGGCTAAGAAGCTGCACCTAAGCCGAAGTTTTGTCCAGAAGGTCAAAACTAAGGCTGGGCTTCGAACGTTCAAGGTACACAAGGCCCCTAATCGCGACGAGAAGCAGAACAAGTCCGCCAAAACCCGTGCCAGGAAGTTGTACCTCAACATGCTGACGAAAGTTGAATGCTGCATCATGGACGACGAAACATATGTGAAGGCCGACTTCAAACAGATCCCCGGCAACCTGTTTTTCACGGCCAAGGATAAGTTCAGCGTTCCGGAGCATGTCCGCACTCAGAAGATGTCCAAATTTGCGAAGAAATTCCTGGTTTGGCAAGCCATCTGCACGTGCGGGAAGCGGAGTGCACCTTTCGTGACCCAGGACACGATGAACGGACAGATGTACATAAAAGAGTGCCTCCAGAAGCGGCTGCTTCCTCTCCTGAAGGCCCACAACGTCCCAACAATCTTCTGGCCGGATTTGGCCTCATGCCACTACTCCAAGGACGTGCTGAAGTGGTATGCGGACAATAAGGTCAATTTCGTGCCGAAAATGTTCAACCCTCCCAACACTCCGGAGCTCCGCCCCATCGAGAAGTACTGGGCGATTATGAAGCAGCACCTTCTTAAACGACCTAAGGTAGTGAAGACAGTCGAGGAACTGAAGAAAGTATGGGTTTACATGCAAAAAACGGTTGATTCACAGGTTGTGCAGAATCTTATGGCCGGGGTTAAGGCCAAGGTGCGGGCATTTGCGTGTGGACTGTAAATAAAATACGAGTAAAATAGGTAAATGAAGTTTAATAGTTATTTCTCAATCCCTGAAAATTTGATGGCAATCGGATGAAAACTCGAATTTTGCGAATCAATTTTGTGTGTGGCAATTTCATCGTGGACACCCTTTATGGACAACAACATTTTATGAAAATCGAAGAAGGCCGCATCTGATCAATTCGTCAGTTAGCGTGGAAATGCTCTCCGAGTTTTAGTTATTCTCCCTAGCTTTTGACGCTGTTTACGCGAGCGTTGTGCCTGCTCACAACTTAATGTTGTTTGAAGCCCTTCTACAGTTATTACTTAGGAGCTTTCTATGCCAACCAATGTAAGAATTTGTATATTGTGCGAGATATTGTGTGGCAATTACAACCCAAGTTACCAACAAGCCTACTTATTCGTCTTTTTGCAATATAAGGCGAACATATGACTGATCTTGCTAGAAGGCGGATCAGCGGGCTTGTTGGTTACTTGGGAATAATACTCTATGCAAAGGGAAGTCGAGAAAATTTCCAACCCTTAACTGACTTAACTGACTATAGGCTCCCAAAAGGCTGCAAAATCTCGACTATACGCGGCGATATTCAAAATTCTGCTTTGGTCACTCAATTGGGCTAACAGTCATCGTCAAGGCAAACCATGTCAATTGTCAGTGACAAAAATGGACAGATTTTTTTATTAGCTAAGTTTGAAACGCAATTAATTGAGCAAAACAATTACATGGAGCCGTTAAAGTGAACAAGCATCTACGTCCTGAACTGCTTGGATAACAATAATGTGACTCAGAATGCATGAAATTAAACTTTTTGTTACCAGGCGAATCAGGTAATTGACGAAAAAATGAATGACATTTTGACAAAGGTTTTTTTTTTTGAGGATCAAGTCTATCAGTGACTATGTGAAAACAATGTTGTCAATGTCGCGCGAAAGTCTGTCAATGACACTGGCAAATCTCAGCGCTTATCCTGACCAAACACTTCGCGTAACGATTTGAAATAATTGTCAAGATCCTTGACTTGAAAAAGAAATCATGAATAGCCTGGACATAACCCGAACGCAAACCAGCCTTTAGGCTGGATTAGACTCTACTCTATTATGGCAAACATTCTTATGCCACATCCTGCTTGATGCCAAGCGTTTCTGCGAAAAGTCCAACCCGATCTGCAAACCCACTATGTAGAAGGTTAACCGAATAAACACGATGAATATGTTGGATTGGAAACAGCATTTTTCTTTTCTAAATAACACAAAACATGCGATGGTACAAACAAACAGCTAAATGAGTAACAACATTAAAGCAAATACAACAATTACGCAAAATACAAATACAATACACATTAGGGCGAGGCTTAAGGCTACGTTAATGATAACTTTTTGAGATTGTTTAGATGAAATACTACAAGTAACAGAGATGTGACAGATGTATGACGAATGTAGCGAAATTAAGGTAACACACTACGATGACGATTATAGAGATGATTCGGAAATGATGGTGGCTACTCATCAGAACCTTTTTATGTGGCACACGATCGATCGAGGTGGAACAGTACACATATCGAACTGAACAACAAACCAAGGGTCAAAGAAGGAAATGAAGAACACAAACTAAACATAGAATACCAAACATGTTGGTTGATGTTGATGCGAGTGTTGATGAATGAGAAAACCGATGTTCTGCAGTGTGACACATTTGCAAATTTATTTCCGCTTCCAGAGTGTAAGAGAGACAAAACACATGATCCATGAAACGAGTCTACAAATATGATCTGTTTGGAGCACACGCTCACGAGTTCTTTTCGTTTGTGAGATTTTATGATTTTTTGTTCGTTTCATTCGTTTTTGTTTTTAGAGCTATCGTTTATTCTTGCACGAGATTATAAATTGTCATGGAATTGTCATTTTTTTTTGTCATAAATGAAATGGTTATAGTAGTTGAAACGATTCCGAATAGCGTAGGTACTTAATGCTTAAAATTCGATATTAAAAATACAAACAGGCGAGTAATCAAAAAGGAAATGATAATATAGCAAAAGTGATTTACGTTGTCTAATCGCTAATTTAGTGGTAATGGTTGGGCTCGGATGTCCCGTTATTTTTTTTTCTTTTCCTTGTTATTTTTTGCTAAGTACTACTACATGGTTTTGCGCACAATAATGTGTGTGTGTGTGTAGATGAGTCTATCGATGATGGTTGCATGTGTGCATTTTTATGATATCAGTTGTCAGTTCCTCGACTAAGTGGTAAAATAGAAGTAGTAGTAACAACAGTTGGTGCAACCTACACAGGATAGCATTTGCTGCGTCCTTTGACAATTGTTGTGGTCGTTAGCACAAGTTATTGGTAATCTGTTCCCGATCTGAAATCTGATCAGTTGTGAAAATGGTGAAGAATCGAGTCCTGCCCGACGGCTACGGCGACGATCAAGTTTTGACAAAATAATTGGGATTGCTTAGGACTCGTTATGCTCTTGCGGACTAGGTGGTAACGTGCAATTATTACTATTATTAGTATTGGTGATTGTGGTGGTAGTAGAAGAGGAAGATCCCGAAGCCCCGCCACGTACGGAATCGGGGGCTCCGAAGCTAGTGTGCCTACGCAGCAGCGATCCGAATACACGCCTGCCCTTGGACTCATCTGAACTTCTTGATGCAAGTGACGCGGTCCTGCAAAATGGTCCAATTCGGAGACACGAACAAACACACGGAAGAGGGAGGTGTTTCGTGGATTCGTGGGATCGTGAGGCAGGGAGGGGAAGATAAAGGAAAGTGAAGGGTTTGTACACATCAGTAATGGTTTGATATCGTTCTGCATTCTATGGTTGATTTTATGCTAAGGATAGATTTGATGATTTGTCACTCGTACAGAACGTAGTCGATCATTTTACTAAGCGCGGTCGCAGCCGACCAAATAACATACTTTCAACCGTTAGAGTTCAATATACAAAATTTACAAAACGTTTTTTTTTTTTATCTACAGAATACTGCAAGTTACGGTGGTGTCTGCCGAGGTTCTGCTTTTGTGCGATAGGTGCATTTGTACTTTTGTTTTCACTGTGCCAATGCCATATGCTGCGAGCTTCCATTTTGAATCAAGTGTTTTAGTTTAGTTGTAGATGAGACAAACAAAATACATTTCTCTCCATAATTTGCTTTTTTCTCTTGGAATAGTCTTGAGAAATCATTTGGTATATCCTTTAGAATTCAGAAAATATTTTCCCAATTTTTCTATTGATTTCACCTGGGAGCTCCATGAGAACTTTCCGAAGAATTCCGTTGAAATTCTTCTAAAAAATGCGAGACAGGATGTCGACTCAATGAATAAAATCAAATTCGCTGACATACCCTTTTTTCCAGTAGTTAAAAAAAATCAAGATGCAGTGTCTAAATGATTCTGTCAACACGACCTCATCAGCTATTACTTTCCTCAGACATGTGCTACCCAACAAACAATTTTAGCTGCAGACCAGCCTTTACAGACATGACTTAACTGCATAAGGCAAATTTTTGCTGTACAAGCTAGTCTGCAGTCAAAATTGTTAGTTAGGTAGTGCGTCTGGACATTTTTTTCATGAAATACCTCCAACCCATGGAGAACAATTTCAAATGGAATAAAGCGTTCGATACATTCTATAGAATGTAGAAAATACAGAAAACGGAGCCTGGTAATCAGTTCAATTCATGATCAATAGCGATGTGTGAAGAAAATTGCAACCATCTCGATATAAATCTACAAACAAGGCTTGCTTCATCGCTTAAATGTTTCAGCAAACTTGCTCGATTTACTCCATGATATGAGAAGAGGTCCTTGGCATGGAGATTTTCTCATCCTTAGAAGCAGTGTTGAAAATAGTCACCAAAACTCACTATGACTCGCAAACTTTTCCCTTATTGAACTTCGTGAAATATCGTGAACTTTTTCAACCCTGCTGTGAAGTTCTTTTCTGACTGTTTCCGAACATAAGGGGAAGTTCACCGCTCCGAAAAAATAATTACGTTTTGATTTTTCTAAAAATATTGAAAAAAAATATTAGATTTTTGAAAAATTACATTTTTTCTAATTTTTCAAAGAAAATTCACGTTCAAAAACATTTTTTATGAGTCGATATGGCATAAAGTTGGACTCAAAAAACCACAAAACATCGAATTTTCGGTTTTTCTGAGCGTCAGATTTTTTTTATGATGAGATAGAAAAAAACATTTTTACATTTAATTTTTGACAAAAATCTAAGGAAGATCCTGATTTTCTTGGATTTTTGATAATTTTTCCCAATATTTTAGGAAAAATAAAAACGCCCCGAAAATATTTTTTTCATTTTCGGGCCGGTAAGCTTCCCTTTAACGCTAGGGACAGAAATTCACCCAGTTCCCTCACATCTTACATATGAAACACTTGTCTTTAATCCCTTTACATTTTTGTTCCCTTGAGCACCATTTGATACCCAGCTCCACAAGAAAATTATCCCGGATAATACAGTTAACCCAACGCTAATTCGCGGCCAGATTCCTATAATGGGAAATCGTAAGAACAGCGCTTTCACCACCAAAATTTTGTAAATTAATTTCATCGCAATTGCAATAGGGGGAATGGCTCAAATGTTGACCTATGGATCTAAGATTAGGCCGATCGCCAAAAATCTGATTTTTTTCAAACATTCTGTACTATTAAAAATCTTCAAAATTTTAAGAAAATTTACAGGATTCAGCACATTTGTTTAAAGTCTAAAACTAGGAAAATTTCTCACGAATGACAACAGATTCACGTAAACTAAATACTCTATCTGATAGTGCAAAATTTCCCTAGTTTCTCTAGTTGAAAATTCATCCACGAAAAATCGATGTTTAAAGTAATTGTTTACATAATTGACCCATTGGCCATTTTAACATAAACCGGATCAATTATTCAATAATCTAGGGCTGTGAAAAATAATCAAAATGTGGGATTTTGAAAAATTTCCATCATCTTAGATTAGATAAAAAAAAAACATTTACGGTCCCTGAAACATGTTCATGAACATTTTCCATTAAATTCTGTCTACCTATGGAATTTTGAGCAGGGTTCAAAAAGAAATTAAGCGTTTTAAGGAGTTATGGTCCGAATCAATCATTTTGTACGACAATTTTTCACAGAGCTGGCGCTGTTCCGCTGGTAGGAAGTGATAAAAATCCCCATATAGAAATTGAGAGAAGTGGGAATAATTCGCTTTCAGTGCATATTGAGGTCAAAAAAAGTGAAAGAAATTAATCCGGGACTTTGTCGTTCAGTTTTTTCCCGGAAATTATTGTTAAACAAACTACAATTAATTAAAAATGATTTTTCCCCATACAATTTTACCTGCTTTACTACCAGTCCCCAGAGAGCAAAAAAAAATCAAATTTGAGAGAGAAATTCTCTCCCACGAGCTCAATCTCTCAATATGCCATGTATTTTGTTGACACTCAATTTGTGATTTCCCTTTCACAGATTACAAAATAGAGTACCTGACACTACAAAACCTCTATATATGCAATTGCTTTAACATTTGAAGTCTCTCCTTTTTTTATATATTCTGCGCAAAAGATACTTTATGCCCCACCCCATACATAAATTTCGGCGGGAAATTCTGTGAAGGGTGAGCTATTTTGTGTGCAGAATGTGTAAAAAAGGAGGGACTTCGAATAATAATCTAAATGCATATATAGAGGTACCAGACATGTTTTGCAGTGCAGTGTCCTCTGTGAACAATTATAGGAAAACAGATTGTGTCTAGTTTCCGATAGATGTCACCGCAAACAACAGCTGTGACATCTGATGGAACATGAATGTAGAAGCTTGACAAAATGATCAATTCCAAGATAAAGTTGTAAGGAATTATTGCATAAATTTGAACGGACTTTTTTCTGGGGAGAGAGAAAAAGTTCTGAATATAATTCCTAGGTTATTCTTAGAATAATTCCAATGAAGTTGTGAGGAGAACTTCGAGTAGAATTGCTAGCTGAAACGCGTAAACAATTACTTGGATCGTCGGTTTCTTACGAATGACAAAACACCTACTCAAACTAACTAAATCATCTGACAGAGCAATGTATGTTCTATGAGCTGGTGTAGTCAGATTCCGTGGGTGTGTGATCAGTCAAAAGAAATCGACATTCGAAGTCATTGTTTACGTTTCGAGTTATACCCTTCTGACATGTTTCCCCTGAATTGTATGGGGATGGTGAGGAGAATAGCAGGTGAATTTCAATAAACATTCCGAGAGTTATGCTGAGAATGCACAGATAATTACAAACCGAATTTAAAGAGTGTTCAGAAAATAATTTCAATTGAATACTGGTGAAGATTCATACGAGAACTTCAAGGGAATTACGAGAAAAAAACCAAATCATATTCTGAGGTCAAAATGACGGGAAGTTTAAGTTTAGTTCTAATGAATATTTCAAGAAAATTTAGAAGAGAAGTCCAACGATTTATGTGGAAAATTCCAAGGGATTTCCGAGGAGAATTCAGAACCAGATCTGATGAGATATTTGACTAAAGTTCAAAGGAAAAATTAAAACGATTTTTTTCCGTGTTAGGTACATCTGGTACTTTGATCTATTGTGATATTCCCCGTTTTTATATTGCTTTATCAGTTATGTCGTATCACTATTTTGTGAAGCGACCTACACGAAACGAAAATCAATTATTTAATTCATGTGTTTCACTTATACATTTTTGCCAAAGCATTAGCCTTATACATTCCATAAGATAAACCACATATTTCCTATTAGAATGCATAAAAGGTATGTGTGACCGCTTATACATTTCATTTGACACATGATCTTTATTAACTTTTTGCAAGGCGTCTGCTTATTAGTCGACTTATACAATTTATGAATAATCAGCAATGGAAATTTGCCAAAAGGTATAAGGAGATTTCTATCCGTGTACATAGACTGACCAAAAGCAATGAAATGAAATCTAGATAGAGCTGGAATTAGGGCGTAACAGCTTTTGTAAACAATGACTTCTCTCGTTGATTTCTAGCAACTCAAGGCACGCCTACACAAACCAACATATCCATCGGGTAGGGGAAGTCTTCCCCTATTCGATGGTAATGTTGATTTGCCAGGGAGAGTCATGCGTATCGAGAAATCATCAAGAGAAGCCATTGTTTACAAAAGGTGTTACGCCCTTATTCCAGCTCTATCTAGAAATGTACTACTTGATTGGGACCTGCATTCCAAATATCAAAGGGTTCTGCCAGCCCCCTATCCAGTAAAATACGCCTTTTATTGAAGATTGCTGCACAAGAGCATAGCAGGTGTTCAGAGTCTTCCTTTTCTATGCCACAGAATCGACGCATATCCCCTTGAAGTCCTGTTATCAAACCAGTATAGACACTGAGACACTTTCTTTGATAATTCAAGAATTTTGCTAGTCATTGAAATGTTCGGAATTATGAACCGTTTCAACTGCCTAGCAATGGAAGTGTTGTTCCAATTGGTCTCCACTTTCATTTTTTTTCCATTTCTTGATCTCCATTTTAAGAGAACAAGCAGAAACTCCACAGAATGGTTTTGGTCCTATGAATTGCTGAGATGATCCTAGCCTGGCTAACGTGTCGGCTTCTTCATTCCCTTCAATTCCACAGTGGCCAGGAACCCAATATTGGTTTACTTGGTTTTGACAGGCCAACTTCTGTAGT